CAAGAATACCGAATACAAGGCGGAGGACTGGATGAAGACTTCGATGGCATTACGATAAACACCCTAGTCCACCTCCAATTCCATCACTTACTCGCACAGCAGCGAGGATAAAGTAGATGATGAGGGTGGTACACCAGATTGTTGTTGCTAGAATGAAAGATAAATCTAGGACGAGGCCAAGGACATACTGGGTGCCAGTGGTGTACCCTTGGTATAAATCCTTTATCCTGAACACTAGAACAAACAATGGGAAATATGTGATAGGATAAGACACCATAAGTATCGTACCAGTTCCAGAGATGAGCATTAAAATGGGTGGTAGGATAGCAGGCCACCGCTGTCCCGAGACAATCCAGCAACGCCACATCTACAAATAATGATGAGGGGTACTGCTAAATGTTCCCAATGAATAACACGCACCATGGTCGAGTCTGCAACAATAGTATTCAAGATACTCATGATAGCTGTCCCCAAGAATATGCCATTCTGGCGAAATAAGATCGTCAAAAACTTCGACTGGAAACTTTGACCATTGGCGATGAAAGCAGAGCTGGTGAGAAACCAACTGAGACCAAAATCGATGGTGGTAAAGATGAAGAGGAGTACAACCGCCACGGTCGTGACTCGCCCAATAGGCCGGAAGTTATGGATGACTGGTAGTTTGGTTGAGCTTTGATGATCATATAGAAGTTATGTTCTACTCACAGATATTCCACAGGGTGATGGCAAAGATGCCGCTGTAGACACCTAGGTGTGGAGATAAATAAGAGAGGACGGATAAAACCATAAGCGAGAATACAAACCATATAAAAGAGCATAGAGGATTTTCGAGTTCAACTCGTCATCTAGATATTGATTTAGGACAGTTATATCTCTACCACCAAGTTCCGTCAGGATATCGAGCTGGTAGGTCATCACAACAGAGGTAAAGAAAGGGCAGGGTATGCAAAGTTGAAAGATGGGTCGGATCCACAGGACAAACTTAACCTATACTTCATTATATAGCGGTTATCAGAATGCGAGGAGTCAACGTCTCAGATCAGGTCCCAGAATGGAGGGCATAGCTCTACGATAAAGTTCAGATGGCCAGTTTCATATTATGTGAGGCATTGTAAGTGGACCTCGAAACTGAGGAGATAATCAGCTTTGTGGATCCATAAAGATCCACTCTCCATAATGTCGCTCGTCGTAACATCGCCGTAGTTACAGGGATTTCAGGGGGAAGCGCTGTGATATGATGCCGCAAATTATCACAGGTTTAAATGGTCCAGTGCAAAGATGCGAGCGACAATCACAGCTTAAGTATGAGTAGTGGCAATTTGAAAACAGTAACCAGTCAGGTCAACTAAAATCATCGTTCTCATTCGGTCGGTCGTATGTCTTTCAATCATAGTATGGCCAATCACTGCTAGAGACTTCCATCAGGCTGCTTGAAATGGCTAGGGATCGCTTAAGATAGGCGTCATCACATCGATTGCGGTATGCACTTCGAGATCAGTTGAGATAATGGAAAAAGTGATTCAGAAAAGGCATCAGCCGCATGAAGCCCGCTGATGGTTATAAACAAAATAGAAGACGATGAGGTTAATAGATAACAAATCTGAACGCTGGGGTCTGCCTGAGTTACGCAGTCTGGTTGGCAAGGCGAGAGATCGTGATATATATCGACTCAGGCTGATCTCGACCAGCGTTAGAACTCATCAGTTCCATTATTTACCCGAATTGTCAATCTACGCAAACCGCATGCCCCCAGTGGTCGAAGGGTTAGTGTAAGGTTAGTGGGGGAAGCAGATTGGGTGTTTAAATAAGCACTGAAAGGATTGAATCTAAACTTGATTGTCGTAGTTGTGATTGACAACCGACCGCAATCTCGAAACACGAGTGGACGGAGACCTTCATACTAGTGGCGCGCTCTACCAACTGAGCCATATAGGAACAGGGTAGTCATAGTAGTGGGGCGGCAGACCACTACGGATTCCAGAGGCCAGTCCAAGAACCACAAGCACAATTTTAGCATCTTCCAGTACCATATCAGAGATAAAATATGGATTACGGCAAAGGCGTTGAGTCGGACAAAAGCATCCATCATCCTCCGTCCATTGCTACGTATCGTTCTTGTGCGCCTTCTGGGATAATTCTGGGATATGCCAATATCGCTTCGGAAATGCGAGGCCGACTGTAGATCCACAGTGGACGTGTGGACCCAACCAAAGTGATACGATTGCAGACAGAAAAATTGGATCAACGTCTAAGAAAGGAAGAATGTGCACACCCTGGACACAAATCCTTGCTACAGTCTAGAGTAGTCGACGCCCTGATTCTCCTGCTTAGTATGACACCTTCTGTCGACCTTGCTGACGGTTGATGGCATGCGACAGTGCGGCTGCATACCATGAGATAATAAATCGAAAGATTTATAGCAGATACACCTTCGTTTCCGTCCCAGAAAATCGAAACTGACGCATCGGCAAGCCAATAGGGTTGATCTGGAGTCAGTGGACTTCGCGATGCCTGTGTCGAAAGAACAATGCACGCACCCTCATAGAATTCTTGTCGACTCCTCAACAATCGTACTACAGGTAGATGATCTTGACAGCATCGGTCTCAAATGACTATGACTCGATGTGCTGTTAATATCGAATACTGAGCCTGAGTGCTTGAGCCCCGCACAAAGCGTATGATGACGACAGAGGAGATGGCGACAAAGCTTCGAAAATTCCCTAGTAGGTCTTGTAGCAAGTCATGGGCTTTACTCGTGACGCGTAGTAGGCATCGACTCCGCCTTGATGCTTCCAAGTTCGAGTGCGAACACTAAGAGATGCAGGTCATGCACGTGGACATGACGCAATCAAAAGTCAAAATCCCTTTTTTGGATACGCACCCGGTCATTAAATAACCGTCACCTCGTCGTTTTGGAGGGAGAAGGGCTCCCCCCTCCAGCTACGTAAATCAGCCCATGTGAGAATCCCACTCGTCCATCATATCGCTGTCGACGATATAAAGCACTGATAGGCGTGTTAGTGGAATCAGGTTACTGGTCGCCGTTCCTTCAACCCTTCAAGCTCGACTTGGACATTCAGCGAGCTTTGATACTATCGTTGGCGACATGTAAAAAATTTCTAGACCATAAGATTGTACATCAATCATGTATCGATTTGCTAGAACCTACAATACAACGAAATTAACCAGCGCTGACGTCCGCCGTCCGAGATGTCAATCCGAACCTCAGTTTTTCCCTACGATTCGACAACGGCCGCATTCTCACCTATACGTGTATGGCTTTCCGAGTCATTCTCTCCACCATCACTGCTATCTTTGATCTCGACTTGGCCTCCTTGGCTGCCTGAAAAGTATGATTTCGGAGGTCGAATCCTATAGATCTTGAGGCTATGTCATTTGTTCGTCGAAAATATCCCTAATTTCCGAAAGATTTATCGATATTTTGGCCGAATACATTGGGCCGAATACCATAGCGACTTTGCAGCAAGCTTATACAAGAACCCTGAAACGCCTTCAGAAACTAGGCCAAAGGCTAGTAGAAATCTAGAAAAAAGAATCCATGAAGCTTGAAAACGCGCAGACTAATCCGCCTTTCAAATCGCTCGCAACTCGTCCACCTACTTGTTGAGGGCGGTTACAAGCAATGGGATATGACCTCTTTCCTCTGCCTTGTCCCAGAACGACGGGGATCGAAGCGATACGGGCGGAACCATGCTGCAATCTAGAAACTCCTTTCGGCAGACTAAAATCAAAATCACTCAAGAGCTCTGTGACTAGTACCGATTGCAGCTCCATGACACTGGAATAATCGGTGTAAACATTTTGGAGTCAGTTGTTAAGAATATGCTGAAAATCCAGATGTGGGAGCACGATCCGGGGAGTGGAGACCAAAGGGAGGTAAGATCGATGAGAAGTGATGTATGTTATCAGGGAGTAAAATGGACTTCGGCAAGAGTTCGTGAAGGAGGCCTGAGTGATCTGGTGCGCAGCATAAATGAAGGTAGCAAGCACGAAGCAAATGATATGCGAAGGATGGCCGGTAAGCGCGAAACAATTACTGATATAGGAACCCTGTAGACGCGAAGTTATTACAAGGCAGAGGTGAAGACAAGTGCTACACGTAATCTTCAGGTTGGTGCTGGAAAGCGCTTAGCGTACCCAACGAGTCAGTCAGCAAACGCTAAGTGTAGCTGAGGGTTCACGCAGTGAAGGTATCCTGAAAGTCGTAGATTGGTCAAGATTGTTTAATACAGTGATACATATGAGTTTATATACCCAAGAGTTCTTGGAATTATTACTCTACTGAGTTCTAATGTGTTGTAGTACCTGTAAGAACAGTAGAGGAGTTAGGACTCGAAGATACAAGAAAGTACGAGGGAATCAGTGCAAAGACCGAGAAGGCCAAGTAAGGGCATGCATTGACTCATGCGCCGAAAGAATGGATACCCAATAACCATAACATCGGTTCATATGAACACCAGGGAGCCAATTAGACACAAGTTACAGCGAGTCCATCCACAAAAATGGATCACCTTCAAATATAATAAAACCCACCACAAGCGCAAATATTCAAACCCAGCAGCAGTAGTTTGATGGTCCTTACTGAACCATCAAGCAAGGTGCTGGCAAGGAGAAAGTGATCGCAGGTTATCGATGTATGCCATTGAGCTGGAATCGTACCAGAGGCGAGGTTCCACTTGAACCGTTACCCCATTCATGGCTGGCAAGCATCAGCCATTCTGATTCAACATCAGTTCTTCTTTAGTGCGTCATGAGCTACTCTTAGGAAGAGATTATAATCCCAATTCGAAAGAGCGTCCCCAACTCGGAAAGAAATTAGCGAAATTTTCAGCCAGAGGGGTTGAAAAGAAAATAAAAACTGTAAGAAGGAACGCTCACATCGATCTAAACACACTGGCATGAAGGTAAGGCTGTTGAATCCCAAGTTCGGTCCAAGCTAAGTTTCAGAGTTCGCTAACAGAAAAAAATCGAAATCCAAATGACAACAGTGGGACTCGAACCCACGCCCTTTCGGACCAGATAAGAACATGCAATCTCCTGATTCTGGCGCCTTAACCACTCGGCCATGTTGCCATACAGACTATGATACATCCAACCTTTATTGCCTGAAAATAGAAACGGGATACGGCTAAAAAGCCTACATCTCTGGTAGGCAATTCCCTCTAGCCGACTTGAACGACTGACCTCGTCATCGCTGATACTAGTGACGCGCTCTACCAACTGAGCTAAGAGGGATTACTTGATGAGATGTTAAGTATACACATAATGTGGCGGCCGGTTAAGACATGGAAAGTCGACAGAAACCCGTAGGCGGTCCCGATGCGCTATACTGTTGTGGAAGTGCGGAGGAATTTTGGGGAGTCGACGAATGTTGTGAAAGAATTAGCATCACGGTTGGAAAGCGGGGAGAGATATAAGAGATGGCCTAGTATAGAAAAGGTGTCGCTTCCCGCTTGAATAAACCGTCCAGCTTGTTCTCAGTATGTACCTTGGCCGACTTGAATGACTCACGCGCTGTCAGCAACAACGGAGTCAAGAGGGATCTGGTCATGAGAGGTACCATAGACCAACGCGTGTTGTAGTGAAGGAAGAGGATTATAAGAGAAAAATAAACAGAAGACAGTTGAATAGCAGTCACTGGAATGGGCAAACGTGGCGCTAGGCCGGTTGGCCAAATTCTGAAGGCTCGGGATAGATCACGAGGGCAGTGTGCGCAGCAAGGGCTTGGGTTCGAGAAGGACGCGCTTTGAATGGGCGTAACTAATGTGGTGTTATCAAATTCGGTATCCGCGCTGAGACACGGTGAGAAGTGGCCGACGAACGACGAGCAAGAGGGTAGTGCCAGCGCTAGATGGGAGGATAACGGATGACGAGAAACGATGACAGCAGCATCAAAAGGAATGACATAACCCCTTGAAGCTCATCAAAACTTTTTCACGAAACTTCCTCTCCCACGTGGTCTTCCAAATAAAACCCTTGTCACTCCCACATTTTTTTTTCCTTCCTTTCCCCAACCCTTCCTTCTTTTGACGATGTTCTCCGCCTACCTCGCCCTCGCTGCGCTCCCTCTGACGCTCGTTCACGGCCTGACCATCAGCAACCCAACGGAGACCGTCACCTCCACAGGCTCCATCACCATCTCATGGCAGACATCATCGGGCGACCCGTCGGTATTCTCCATCGAGCTGATCAATCAGTCCTTCAACAACCAGTACGCCATCGCCAATAACGTTGACTCCAGCCTGGGTTCCCTCAGCCTCACTCTTCCCCAGATTCCCGCCGAGTGCGTCCAGCTGTCTTTCCCTTGTTTGTTTCATTTCACACACTAACAAACGATTGGCAGAGATGGGTACACCATCGAGCTCGTGAATATCTCCAACATTAACGATATCTACGCTCAAACGGGTACGTTCTCCGTCTCGGAGCCTGTCAGCTCCTCAAGCTCGGCGTCGTCGACGGGGTCTGCGAGTTCGAGCGGTAGCGCGAGCGCCAGTGGCTCTGCGTCTGCGTCGTCTGGTTCAGCGTCCGCGTGAGTCTCCTTCCTTCTATCACCCCCTTCTCGCGCTAAGCGTGCTTCTAGGTCCGTCTCTGGATCTGGTTCCGCCTCCGCCTCCGTATCGGGCTCCACCAGCCTTGCCTCAGCCTCGGCATCCGGCTCCTCCACCCGCGCGTCGTCCACCACGCCTTCCTCCTCCTCAGCCGCCTCCACCGCCTCCACCTCGGCATTTAATGCCGCCTCGCGCGCACACGTCGGAGCCGCCGGCATCCTCGCTGCCGTCCTTGCATGGGTCGTCGCTATCTAAAAATGACACTTTATTCTTGGACGAGACTTTTTTGGGGGCACATTCTATATCTATTTACGAACGATTACGCAGACTCATATTATACCCTCCTCCAGAATATTCTTCTCAATCTCATGGACTGTCTACTACGTACTGTCATTTTGTACCTACCGCCTGTCGTTGCTGTCAATTATCATCCCTGCTCGGCTGTTGTGTTGTGCCATTATTGCGTTATGTCGATGACGGAATGTGTTAACCTTTGTTCTATTTAATAATGGCATCATGGCGCATCAGGGTTATAGTTCGCTCTTTGATTCCAGCTCATGGTTTGTATGTAGCACAATATACCCACTGTTTAAGTAATCCCTCTTAGCTCAGTTGGTAGAGCGCGTCACTAGTAGCAGTAATGACGAGGTCAGTCGTTCAAGTCGGCTAGAGGGAAGTCACAAACTTGTCGGACTGTTTTTGACTTTCTGGCCAATATCTGATAACCATTAGAACTTACAAGTTACAAGTCTAAATTGTGCTATTGACCCTTTTTGCCAGACACTTATTCAATATTCCTATGAACTCGATTATGGCTGTTCGACTCACACTCAAACTCTCCATGGCTCTTCTCATGCAGTATTAGTCGTTCAAGGGAACAACTTGGAATTCTTTGTGTTGAATTTAAATGAATGACCCGAGCGGTATGCAAGCTTTCTTTTGGGCCAGCGCTGACGTCCATCTACAGATTGCTCCTAACAGCGTACTGCGATGGAAAGATTTAGGTATTGTTCTGTGAAAGAGGTGGTGAGTGCAATGTGTTTTTTTCTCCTTTCGCTCGTGTCCCCAGAGCTTTGGGCAGCTTGAAGGGATCTCAGCATCGGAATCATCGTGTTATGGTGCTACACATCACACAAGGAAGAAAAGGCCCTCCTAGCAGTGTTCCGTGCGAGAGTCTCTTGGCCTCACTGATTGTCTATCGGACTCCAATTGCCTGCTCTTCACCTGTTGTGCGTTATAAGTCTTTGTTGTTCCACACTTTTGGATATACAATGATATCACGGTATAATGAACAAGCAAAGGGTTGTTTAAGGTCAATGCCGAGATTGACGTAATCCACACGTGCTACGCCTCTTTTTCCAATTTCCAAGCTTTTGCTCGTTGTCTTTTCCGTTACCTTTCTTTGTCAGTTATCTTTTCCTAGTAGACTATATATTCTGTCAGCGAGCAGTTATTTCCTTACCCTCTCACTCACTGCTCGCAGTCGCAGTATACATAGACGTTTTTCTCTCCCACCCTCCTCCCTAAACATTTGATTACGACTCCTTCCTTTATCCGTACATCCGTAGTTGGCTTGGGTGTTCCCTTATGGGCACTCGAGAACTTTGTACCTCAATATCACCATTGATCCTAAACCCTCATTCTCGCTCGATCTTCATCTCTCAAGAACCTCTTCACTGTATCGATCTCACCGACAGGAGATCCGAGCATTGAATCGGAACCCCCCGGTGCAGCGCTTGTTCGCTGATTCTAGCTCAGACCCATGAATCCCATTTAAAAACTTGAAATTCAAGCAGGCGCTCCTCAACTGTCTTCCGGTATTTTATCCCCAGGAGATGTCGTGGCTGGAGTAGTGATTTGGGATGCCTTTCTCTCACTTGCCCGGGGTTAACTTGTTTTGCGCCTTTTGGAAGGGGGAAGGATCCTTGCGATTCGTACGTATCTCTACCTTCGTCATCAAAATAATGCGTCGGTGGAAGGGACGGAGGACTTTGCCAGTGCACATTCGGAATTATTGATTTCGTTCTCATCGTCCGAGCTTACCTGAGAACCGCTAACGACCCAAGTCAGATTTTGATCTCAGGGTCACTGGCATGGAACAATGTATGATATCTCGGCATGGCAATGCTCTGGCCTTCACAGTTCCCCTTCACCGGTATTTTCTACGAGCGTCCAGCGCATATTCTAGAAACCTAACTTCCGCTAAAGGGGGTACTATCCCCACAGGCGGGGCGGACTTACGATGATGAAGAGGCTAAATCTGGGTCTACGTCCTTCTTATACCAGGAAGTAAGAGGTAGAGCCACGATGAGCAGCGGAACCATTTCAGGGCAGAGATCATCGAAGGGCCTCTTTGATGCTCGAGGCACTCCGCATGCTGTTGAGGCTAGCAGAACCAGTCGATGGACTTTGTTGAGTGTAAAGTTATGAACACCCCCAGGCCCGCCCAACGACGTCACCGTGTGCGCTGCCAGGAAACAGGGAAGAGTCAGTCGAGGCGGGATAGTAAACCATAGTGAGGAAGGGTGGAAGGGAGTAGTGAGGACCCAGCTCAACCGGCCAAGCGTTTAAGGAGGTCGTACGTACACGTGATGGAAGAACGCCAGTCTGCAGGGAGGACACACTCCTCTAGCAGAGCCTCCTTCCCAGAGCGGTAATTTTGGCACCGAGCATTGGACGTCGGTTCCACGTTGCAGATTCATCCTTCTTATTGGGATGGAAACAAGCCTAAGAGACTCGGGATCTTCTCTGGACAGCCCAGACGCTCATAGTATTTATGGACAGTGTGAAACGGAAGGAAAGCTGTTGTAGATGGAACTTGAAGGTGTTAACGCCGTCTGTGATGGAATGTCGGGATATCAATCATGATTCTTCTCAACAACTTGGCACCGCAAGGAGCGGAATCAGACTTGAATATTAAAACACAGCGAGTTCCAATGGTGCTTAATGCTGAATGGCGTGCAACTTCCCGATCAAACCTTCTGGTGCCGTACTACAGTCGAAGCCCTCTTAACTCGTAGCGATCGGTGGACCCTCAGATGAAAAATTTTACTAGATTTCTAACCAAGTCATTAGGCCTTATTCTGCTGTATTAGCCATCATTGAAACCCCTGGAAAGATCCAATTCGCCACAAACACCTGTTTTCGGCGATTTTCCAAGTCCAGGTATCGGTTCTGATGACATCCGGCAGTGTAAAATCAGTAATATTCGGTCAAAATTTGACCACAGGCCAGGAAATCTATGAGCGACTAGAGCGGATTTTCTCGTGAAAAGGTATGGGTTATGGGGTATGGGTGATGTATGTGTTACGGTACCCATTTTTCTGGGAACAAAATCGGTGGACATCAGAACCTATGGGTCAGCGCGTATTATGCGCCACGAGGGCCAGGGTTAAGAGGGCTTCGACTGTAGTAATTTACTCAGACCCTGTTCTGTTACCACGGCTTAACCCAGCCTCAGAGCCCAAAAAAGTAAACCAGTCGCTTAAGTCTGGTTAACTTGGATCATTCAGCGTTTCAGTCCAT